TTCGTCATTCTCTTTCTGGAATCCTGAATCATCAGTCTTCTTCTCTTTTTGGATTGTCTTGTCTGATGGAACAGGTGGCGCCACTACTATACCACTCTAAAGAGTGATGGCGCTTATATTCTCCCTCGGGTTTACTTCAGTTTGAGATGAAAGTTTACCTTGTGATTCCAAGTGGCTTACGGTTTCAGCCAGTTAGCTTATATGTTTATCCATCTCTTGGAAGTGGGTTTCAGTTCGAGTCTTGAAGTTTTCCTAGGAGAGCGCTAAACTCTTGACAATCGACTCTAGTGATGTCTTCTGCGGCTGTTGTGGTGGTGGAGATGGTCTCGCTTGATAACCTTGATTCGGTCTTGAGTTTTTGGTATAACTGAAGTTCGGATGATCCCTCCATCTTAGGTTGTATGTATTGTCGTAGTGATTATAGACTCTTTGAGGAGGTCCCGGAAAGTTCCCGACTGCATTGACCTGAGCTGCTGCGTCATCATGAATCAGTGGACAACCGTCTGTCGGATGATCCGGTAATGCACATATTCCACATAATCGTTTTTGTCCTATCTTTCCTGTAATAAGAGAGTTGACGACTTCAGTTAACTTATCTATCTTATTTTCTAAGGAATATGAATTTATCTCATGAACCCTTCAAGGAGGTTCATTATTTACGCGGAACTATTGGGAATTTGCGGCCATTGTGGAAATTAAATCCTTAGCCTTAGTAGGAGTCATATTCACCAAGGATCCACCGCTGGAAGCATCGATCATCTTAATTTCCAGGGGAGATAATCATTCATAAAAGTATTGAGGGAGTGTTTGTTCAATTAACCCATGTTGTGGGCAACTAGAACATAACTTCTTAAACCGCTCCCAGTAGTCGTAAAGTGACTCTCCATTAAGCTGCTTGATTCCAAGTATTATCCTTCGTAGTTCACTTACTTTCGCCGTAGGGAAAAACCTATCAAGAAAAAGACGAGTCATTTGAGCCCATGTAGTAATAGAATTAGGGGAAGATAAAATAACCACTCCTTAGCCGAATCAGCTAAGGAAAAAGAAAAAGCTCTAAGTTTTATTTGGTCATCGGTTACTCCATGTGGTCTCATGCTAGTACAGACCATATGAAATTCCATGAGATGTTTGTGTGGATTCTCATTTGGCAATCCGCGGAATGTAGGGAGGAGATGAATAAAGCCAGTTTTCAACTGGTATGGAGTTTCACCTTGGGGAAAATCAATGCAAAAAGGCCCTTGTTCAGTAGGTGTCGCGGCTAACTCCCGGATAGTATGATCGACTATCAGAATTATATTAACGGATTCATCTAAATTTAATTCTTCTTCTGGATTTGATTGTTGTCACATTCTTTCCTGAAGTGTTTGTGCGTGGAGTCTCCTAGCTTTGGCTTCGATCTCTGGGTAGAACTCCACTAATGTGCCCGGATTATTCCTGTTCATAAATCAAAAGCGAATAAAAAATTAGTAACTTCGGCGAAGTCCCCAACAACGACGCCAAATTGACAACTGTCGTTTTGATGTCAAATAAATTTCTTTTTCTCAATTAATGAATAAGGAAATACGTAGTATAGAGAAATAAGGGTTGAATCCTAAGGGACTTAGAAAATCACAATTTTATGTTTGAATGGTTTTAACCAGGTGAAAATATTAAAAAAATGGGGTTTTGTAATATGAGATTTAAATAGTAAAAAACGATTAAATAAATAAAAGCAATTAATGTAAAAATAAGAGGGTAAAGATTGTGAATAAATATGGTAAAAATAACCTCAAGCTTCACTTTGACTCAAGTTCCTTTAGATCATCGAATAAGATTTTCCCTCTGGGATTCACGTCGGTTACTTTGTCTACAAGGGCTATCCCCGTGACTCTATCTTTTATACCAAATACCCAAGGCAATCTTTGATTCCGGCTTCAGAAATTGATTCTATCAACATCATTGTCGTAGATCAATTACCGTTTAAGTTCGTGGCGAACGACTCGGATTGTTACTTCTATACCGTCAATTCTGATCTCAAATCCCTCTTGGCGAAGCTAAATCGCCAAGTGGGTTCCCAGGAAGTCAAATATGTTTTCTATAAGCCGAATCTTCCTCCCTCACATTTAATCGCAACGTCTTGACTAAAGTCAATCTTTAATTTTGAAAACTGTTTTGATTTTGAAAAGTAAACGCAAAGATTGAGAGAGATATTCCAAAGATATTAAGGGTCTGTTTCAATTCTCCCGTTGGAATTGAGTCATCACTTCAGTTCTCGGCTTATGAAAAATTTAGCTAAGCATGACAAAAGTCATACTTAGCATATTGAAAACAAAGATTGAAAATAAAAGAAAAATGAAAACTTGAAAAGTAAAAAGAGAAAGCTTTAGTAAAACTATAAAGAAAAAAATATTATAATATGAGTGATGAGTTTAGGCTTACCCTATATGGGTATTTATAGCCTCTTAAAGCCTAAGGATAAACAAAGAAAATAAAATAATACTAAAGATAGTTATTTTTTTCCTAAATTCAAACTTTAAACTAGTCTCCTAATGCAACTCTGCTCGTCCATCTTCCAGAAGGCGTGCTGAGGAAGTCTTCTAGAAACCGCCGCTGACTGGACCTTCTAGAAAACCACCATGTCAGCCCACGTCGTGCCCATGTCTCCAGCCGTAACCAAATAATAAAAAAAATGCATAATGCGCCCGTTTTGTTACTAATTCTGGAAAGTAAAGACCTGCACGAAAACAAGCATAACATGACCAAATCAACAAGAATAATTCCACAAAATTAAAGAAATAACGAGCAAAGATTAACGATTCTGAACACTCATCATTGCTCATTACAACCTTAGAAGTGACCATGTAAGTTATTGTAACATTAGTAGTAATATGAGAACCATTCTAATATTACAAACAATTAGAGACATCCAACAATATATCATTGTCACCTAAGCTACAAGAAATCATGATTCAACATATCATCTTCATGACTAACTCTTTTATGTATTACATCATTTTTCCATTTATATCTAGAATATACACAAGTCTTGGAATAGTCACACTTGTATAGCTCATCTATTATTTCTTGATATCTAGAGTAGACTATAATTAACGAATAACTGGTGATATCTCATATCAACTTATTTGAGCATGGCCATGCATTTCTAGTCTCACTCAACCAAGTGACCTGTGACATTTTCTATTATGTAGGAAGGACAAATCATATCATAATCATTCACATCCCACAACACATGTCGATATGTTCAATATCAGCCTTTATAGTGCAACCAATTACGGATCATGTTTAACTGTATCAAAACACACAACAATATATTGCTATAGCAATGATCTCAAGTATGAGGATCATACATATAATCATCACCATGAGTAATGTTGTGACCGTCAAATAATAATCCAAGACATATGCTAAAAGTGGGTCAATCCAATATGTTGTTCTCTAATAATATATTCATGCATCGATTCTGACATTTTTGTCAATGACAGTTCATTGTCATCAATCAATAACATGTTAGTCTTAAACACATTATTATTATACATACCCATAATAATATTCAACTAAGGATATTTAATAATAATCATGTTATTGTATGGACTATATTATCTTTCAGTTTATGTTAGACACAAAAATATAACTAGAAATAATAATGGCAATGACTTTATTCAATAAAATCGGTAAATAAAATGTATCATAACAATCATATTATGGTTGGTCTTTGGGAATACTCTAACAATTATGTCATTACTAAAGCCCAAGATCAGGCTGAGGCAACAAGCACTACAACAAATTTTCTTATTAGTGGCATCTAGGTTATTGTCACTAAAACTTTAATTTATGTCACTAGATCTATTTTGTGACGTAAAAGTCAATGTCATGATGATCGTCACCCTAAGTGTGTCACTAAATGTCAAAAGTGACGATGTATGTGTTATCGTCATGTATTGTTAAATATATAGTGACGCTAATGGATAACGTCACAGTTTAATTTGCATTCAGTGACAATTATATTTTTCACCAAATGATGTACATTTTCATCATTAATAAATCATATCGTCACCAATAACACAATAATTTCATTGTATATGTGACGAAAAGAAAATTGTCATGTTGTTAGTAACGTAGTATATCGTCACCTAATAGTAGCATGGATGACATTTATATATAACGTTACTATATAATTAATATTCAATGACAACTAATTATGTCACTAAATTATGTAAAATTTCGTTATTGATAATTTATATCGTCACTGTTGATACATTAAAATCAACCTATATGTGACGAAAGAGATATTGTCACATTTTTAGTGACAATATATAAATTTTACCTAATAATACTATGAATGACGTTTATGCATAACATCACTTTATAATTTATAATCTATGACAGTTGGTTACATAACTAAATTAAATAAGATTTCGTTATTGATAATTTATATTGTCACAAATAATGCATTAAAATCAACTTATATGTGACGAAAGAGATATTGTAGCAAAACACATAATTTATATTCTATGACACTTTTAATGACAATATATATTAAAATAAATTTATTTATACAAATCTAAATAAAATAAAATAGTTCACTTATTGCAAAATAATAAGATTTAAACAAATATTTCACTAAATACATAATAATTTCATTTCTATAAATATAAAAATGTTTAAATGTTTAAAAAAATAAAAATAATATTATAATAATATGACTTGTGAAATATTTCGTTGTAGCAATCTCAATCCAAACTTTGAGTCAGTTGTGATTCTATTGCTGATGAGTTTGTGACATCAATAACTTGTTGAGGTTCAGATTCTTTGGTTCGATTTAGTTTACTGGAGACTTTTTGAGTTTCATTTTCTTGTGTTCGAATCCTTTTACGAGATACTTTGCCTGATGTCATCCTAAAACATATAAAAAACTATTATAAATACTTTCACTCGATTTCTCTTAAATATTAGAGGGGACTGCAAAGGTGCATTAAACCACAACCAAAATCATTTATTACAGGGAAGTTGAAAAATTGCCTCCACTATATCTAAACATAATTATTAAAAATTAGAAAAATACAGATTAGTACCAGACACATTCTTAACAAGACTCGAACCTTACCAATTATGCATAGTACATATCATGAAAAACGAATACGAATCTGCGTGCTTAGTATTCTCTTGTGATCTAGATCAACATGACACAACTAAGTGATGTCATTTTTCAAGAAAGAGCAGTTACTTGTTGCTCCCTACGGCGCTGCAATATGCTGTAACAGGGGAGAAGAAGGCCAGTAGCACGAAGGAGGGAAATCTAGATGGAAAAAAATAAAGAAGAAAGAGAAGTTAGAATCGAACATTTAAAGTTGTGAATTACAAAAAGATCAATGCAAATTCGAGCCATGCATACAGAGATATATCTAGATAATTCATCGTCTGTGTCTCCACTGGCTAGGTACAAAACATGCCTCAAGATTAGAAGAGCAAGTATCTACAAATAAACGGATAAAATAAGATCTAAACAGAATAAGAACAAGGATATCAGCAGTGATTCCTGGACCCAATAAATGTTTCATTGAAGTGAAACCCAAAATTATGTATGTTTTCCATCTAAGCAAAAACAGTAATTCAGGATATAGGGCTCAACTTGATATTCGATAACCTTAATTACGAGTGGAAATGACGTTCGTGACTAGTACACTACCAGTGCGAAAAAAAATTGAGGCAAACTGTACAATAGAATAATGCATTAGATAACACTCAAGATGGCTCGAACATTGATATTCGATCTATTACTTGCAGAAAAATGGTGAAGAAAATAAAAGTATACAACCACCAATATTTTAATTAAAATAAGCCAATAAGGGGCTCTGTTACTTGGGACTTGCGTTTAAGCATCAATTAGTTTCCAAGTTTCTCAACTGTTTGGATGGTCCTTGGAATATCATATCCAAATACGTGTCGGACACAAGTGTTAAATTAGGATAATTCAAACAAAATGAAGAGTCAGAGCAAAATAGGATTGATAAATTTTGAATTTTTATAGAGGAAACTAAAGCTTACAGTAAGAGAAGCGGAGCGGAAAAATTCAGCTCCACTAGAATTGTTATCCGAATATTCATCATAGCCTTGCCCAAAAATAGGTCGTTCTGCTGCTACTGCTAAAATTCGTTGGTAACCCAACGAAGCACCAGATACTGTCCACTCACTGTATCAATAGAAAACACAGGAAACTAAGGGATCAAAGGTGATTAGCATACCATAGTGAGCCATCCTTCAGATCACCAAAAAGGATCGGACATAGATCCTCACAAACAAGAAACGATCCAAGAAAATATCAAAGTTTCAATTACAGTTACAACACCCACATTGATAAAAAACTGGGAAAAAAAGGCTAACAAAGTCTGAGAGACATTAATCTTATCATATCTACAATGGTCAATTGGTAAGTGCATGGTTGTGAGACTTGCCTGATATCAATTGTAGTAACCTCTGGCTGAGGAGGAGGAGGTGGTGGCACAATATATCCCGGTTTGTAAGACTGCAAATTAAATGTTTTTTTTTCAGGAATAAGTAAAGTGGCCTAGTAATTCAACTCATACAAAACCATTTCAATGAATGAGATAACGATGATACTGATATCACGGTTTGTAAGACTTGCCTTATCTCGTGATTACACCATGGAGATGAATGATAGTAAAATTAATTGGAAACTTTTAGCATAAGTCGTGGAAACTATATTGTCTTCAATTTTAATAAGCATAGAAAAAAGAGAAAGAAAATCACCGATTATGAATACATAGAAACAGAATCAACCAGCTAAACTTCAAGTAGCATATAAACATTTACGAAAACAAATTCCACATATAAAATGCAACCCATGAAGGATTAAACAATTAAGCTGGAAACACCAACTACGAACAAAGACAGCAATAGGTGCAATTATAAAACAATGCAATGAGGAAAAAGCATACATCAGAAAGAACCTTAGCATCTGATCAATGTACCAAATTCTCTTTGGGGCAAACCTGAGGCAATAAAAATGATTGTTAATCAACTGGGCAATAATCCAAAGTAATTCCGAATAAATATTTCAGCATCCCTCCACCAACAAAAAAGATACCTGAAAATACAGAGCCAAAAACATAAATAATATATAAGAAGATTACAAATATTATAGCATACAAAGACAAACAAATAACGGAACCTACTTTTTAACAAGGGAGCAAATCTTGGCTGTAAGAACTCCCTTAAATTCTTGATCTCTTGCTTCCGAATATTCAATTAACTCTTTTGTTAAAGGCTTCACATTGTTTTCACTTGTCAGCAAGTATTACATTAACTCTTTTGTTAAATGTTTCACATTGCTTTCACTAAAGTCTAGCAAGCAGACTCGATACTCACAAAACGACATATTCATTTTTTCTCTAAAAAGGTTGACTGCCACAACTATCCTTTTACATGTGATTTAGCTTCAATTATTGAAGGTAAAATATTAACCAATTCAATCTATGGAGGCTGTTGCAACCAAAAAAAATATGCCTAGACAAAGGTAGGTTACAAAACCGATAAAAAAATGAAACAACAGTGGAGCACCACAAGAATATCATATTTGGACATTTCAACAAACACATGACAGCCTCTAACAAACACACGAAGGAATGTTCAAATTAAAGGCAAAAAAAGGGGGTGACCTAGCTTTACCCACAATAAATTGAACATGATTATGGAAATAAAAAAGTAAAAACTTCTACAATACCTGGCCTGAGAAAGAATTAGAGTTGAGAGAAGAAAAAAATGAGCTCGAAGAACGTTGAAGGAGAGCCCCCATTACCGTTCGCGAACGTCAAAACTAAGACTAGGGGTGACCTAGCTTTACCCACAATAAATCGAACATGATTATGGAAACAAAAAATAAAAATTTCAACTATACCTGGCCTGAGAAAGAATCAGGATTGATAGAAGGATAAAAAAGGAGTTAGAAAAATGTTGAAGGGTTCGTAGCTTTGTCGAGAAAAACCATAAAAGAAAAGAGGCAAAGTTGAAAGATCCTAATTTAGTCTAGGGGGTCCAAAAGACTTGCGGCGATTGATTTAAAAAAAAGTGACATAGGGCTGAAGTAAGAGGGAAATAAAATTTTTAAAATTTGCGACCTTTTTATACTTAAAAGTCGTTAAAACATTAATTTCGTCGTGTTAAAATTATTTTTTGTGATAATAATAAAATATTATTTTTAGTATCTTATAAAATATGATAAATTAAATTATTACGAATAAAATTTATTAGTGAAGAATGTGCAACGCCACTAATTCGAATTGAATTGTCACTATAATAAATCGTCACTAATACCTATTTTTATTGGAGACGATTTAGAAACGTTATTATTTTATCTAAATGTCATTAAAAGGTTTCCCACAAAAAAATTTGGTGAGAAGATTTTGACGTCAAACATATAATGACAATAATCAATGAACATTTTTAAAATTGTCATAAAAGATATATCATTAATCATTAAATATGACGAACATAAAAAATATTACATTATAGTATATTTTGTGACGATATACGTAACGTCATATAGAAATTTTGTCTTAAATTGACAAATTTGTTGTAGTGAAGATTTGAATTAAGTAAGCATAAAAGACAATGAGATCTATTGCAGCAAGAATAAACTTTGTCGATTGGATAGTCAGGGTCAATAAAATGACAATAGTTCAATCTGCACCATAGCAAACTACAGACACTAGTTTTTGTAATGTGTATTATTATTATTATTATTATTGTTGTTGTTGTTGTTGTTGTTGTTGTTGTTGTTGTTGTTGTTGTTGTTGTAGACTCATTTTCGTCCGTATTTATTTTTTTATTTTATTTTATATATATATATAGTTTGCAAATGATTTTTGAAATATATATAATATATAGTTTTTGAAAGCATTTTGAAAACATATATATTATATTGTTTTTGAAAGCATTTTGGAAACATATATATAATATATAGTTTTTAAAACATTTTGAAAAACTTATATAATATATAGTTTTGAAATCATTTTGAAAATTTATATAATATATAGTTTTAAAAATACATTTTGAAAATGTATACAATATATGATTTTTAAAACATTTTGAAAACTATATAATATACAGTTTGAAAACGGTTTTAAAAATTATATATATAATATATAGTTTTAAATTTCTTTTTTTTCAATATATTATTATTATTTTAATTTATTTGTTATTATATATTTTTATTAATTTCTTTTTTTATTTTTTTTTTAATTCGGTCTATGTCCAAAGTTAGGGTCCAAACGGTCCAGCAGAAGCCCAATCGGGTTCGGGCCTGACTCGACCTTAACCCGATTAGGGTTTCATGTCTAGGTTGCAAGGGACGCCACACGGGCAGTCAAGAGTTAAAGAAGAACCGGCCGACCGAGAAAACCGAGGCTGCACCATCCCAGGATTCCAAGCCACGTGAACGTCGGTAGGCCCAAAATGAGGAGATCGACCCCTCCAAGATCAACAACCAACCCCCCTAAGGAGTGATATAAATAACAACAGAGATCAACGGCGAGACCATTAACACAACGGGGAACATCGAACCCATCAACAAACCAACATCGACCAACAAAAGGCAAGAAACCGAAAGCATAGAGAGAAAAAACACAACAAGCGAACAACCCAACAACACACAAGCAAAGAAATACACAAAAAAGCCAAAAGCCAAGGAAAACATAAAGCAAGCATGCCGGGGAAGCGAAAGGGTTTCACCGAAAAACGTGAAAATTCGATGTTTTTCGCCTAATCTACGTTGAGGAGGTTTTATTTTACTATTTTGGGGTTTGGATTTGGGGTCTCAAGGTCAAGGTGAGTGTTTTAGTGAGTTTAGAATTTGGGAAGAGTTGAGAGGATTTGGGAGATGAATGAGGTGTTTATTTTGGGAAAGGAGTAAAAATGAAGTGGGCTGGTATTTGTTTTTGGTTATATATTGGACCCGCTAGCCCGACCGGATCTCCCTAGGGGATCCGCGTGTTTTTGTTTGGGTTAGGGTTAATTGCATCCAAGGTCTCTATATTATTTGTAAGTTATCTTCTACGCTTTAAATTTAATTTTAACTTTGTTTTTCTTTTAAATTCAGCACCTAGTTTCTCTTTTCCTTTAATGTAATCATTTCTTTATTTAATTTTTGCTTTAATTTAATTGTTTTTCATTTCTTTCATTTCTTTCATTTTTTTATTTTATTTTTATTTTATTTTTTTTAATTTAGCAAACATTTTTGGTTTTTTATTATTTCATTTATATCTTTTTAATTTTGCCATTTTTTAATTCGATTTTTGTCCCTGTTTTCCTTTTTCTTTTGTTTTTATTTTATTTTGTTTCTTTTAAAGTTTAGTTCATTTTTTGTAATTCTTTTTAGTAACTGTTAATATTCAATTTCATAGTTAGCATTTCTTTATTTCGTATTGATTCAACATTTTATTTTACCAATATAACATCTTTTTAACCCTTTTAAGGGCACTCTTTTAAATCAAAGGTAAGCAATTCGAATAGGGTTTTTAAATTTTAATTTTAATTTCTAATTTTTCGCAATTAAGACAACCGACAAATTAATTGGTACCGAAAGAGCAATACAAGGGTGTTAATCCTTCCTTGATTGTAACCAACTCCCGAACCCGACACATTTCTGGTAAAACGCAAATCAGGTAAGATGGTGTCCGATCAACCTAAATTTTTTTTAAATGATCGGTGGCGACTCTAACCCATTTATTCACATCAAAGCCCAACTCCTGGCCCAACCGAAAGACGACCACGACAGCTTGGCGACTCTTCTGGGGACAGGTAAGTGAGTCAGGCCGAAATTAATTTCCGGTTGTCTTTTTGAGCAAAAATTATAAGTTTAAATTTTAATTTATTTATTCGATTCTTATTGTTTACTTTTGATTATATTTTCAAATAAATAGTTGTACTGACTTTTTTTAATGATTTCAGATTTTTGAAAACGTTTTCATCTCTGGCTCTATACCCGAGCTCCGAACCCTTTTAAGTGGGGATGAAACCGACGCCTTCTTGAGAATTTATTCTCCCATTGGGCCTAGAAAGTAACCTTCGGGATTCATATACCTTATGTGTTCGTGTGAATTTATTCTCCGTATGGGCATAAGGGAATGTATTCTCTCGAATTTAACTTAGTCCATATAAGCTTGTAATGGGCTTGGGACTAAGGGTTTGGCAAGCCCAATGGGGCACCAGCAAGGAGAACTTGAGTACCTTTTCTAGAACCTAAACCAGAAGATTACATGGAATTAGAGCCCACCCCAAAACCTCATTTCAAACCCTAGGCTGCTTTGAGATTATTTCCTGCTTTATTTTCTGTTCAAAGCATGTGAACTAGAAATTTATGCGGTTAGGACTGATTCAAAATTAACATGTAGGATAGAGCTCATGTCTTGGTAGGAATAATAAGCATGTGGAGTAGAACTTTTGCATTATTGTTTTGATTATTATCCTTACCTCACTAACTCTTTTCATTTTTGTTCTCTTTCAATTTTATCATTTACATCATTCAAAATAGGTGTTGATCCACCAAAAACGTGTTCGTTAAACGTAAATAATTTGCATTAATGGACAAAGGGGTTATAATACAAGAGATGAAAAGCTTAGAAGTCCGGCTATGGTTAGAAAAGACTCAGAATGGACCGGGATTTACACAAAGCACATCAAAAGTCAACCTTTTGAGTTACCAAAAGTTGTAGGGGCAGATGAAAAAGGTTACTGACCTGGAGTGTCCCTTCAAAGACAATAAGAACAAGATGGAAAAACCCTAGCAGAGATAGAGGCCATTGTTGATGAATTTAAGAAACAAGCAAATGAACTTCAGATAGCTCTTAACGATGGATGACTCCAATGGAGTTTCCGTTAAGGAACAGACTCAGCAGAGAATAAAAACCAGAGATACAACTATTCGAGACTTCTTGAGACAAGTACATAAAGTAGCTCATCAACTACACAGTTTAGCTAAAGAAGCCAGAGCGGTTAGACAGGGTATTCAACCAGCGTCAGATGAAGGCAGAAGACTAATAAACCTGTTAGAAGCTGTTCGGGGTCTAGAAGACATAGTGGTTTTTTGCCTCTTAAGAAATAACACTTTTTCCCCCAATAAAGGATTATTTATAATAATAGACATATTTTTGGATCAATGCCTTGAACATTGCATGTATCATGCATTTAAACATATTTTGCATTTTGTTATTTTCATTTCTTTACATTAGCATTAACTAACAGAAGAATGTCTCATTAAAAAAAGGGAACAAATACTGGAGATACCACCTCAAGAATTAGACACACCCCATCCACATAACACTCACTTCAAAAAGAAGAAGATGGAAGCAAAAATCGCTCAACTCAAGGAAAATATGTTGAAGTTACAGAGAGAGCTAGAAGATAAGATAAACCACATCAATCTGAGTACTCTAGATGCAATCACAAAGAACCAAGAGTTCTTGGTCGACCAAATTATTGCCAAGTTAGCTAGCCTACGTAAGACAAGAGTACCTAGGGCAGGTTCATCGGAAGGGGTAACTATGCCACCTACCCCGCAAATGGTTGTCACCTGGAATCTTACCAGAACTTCAAGGGGACTCATCCACTGCAAAAGGCAAGACCACATCTGCTATAAAGATACAGACTACTGTATCTAACCCTGAGAACAATCTAGGTTATTACCATATACCGGATTTGGACGAAGATGACAAAGCAAAGAAGATTGATGACAAAATCAAGCAATTGGAGAAGCAAATGAAGGTAGTTAAAGGAGACCATGACTACCAAGGAGTCGATACCGCGAACTCGGTCTAGACCCAGACTTGGTTCTTCCTCCGAAATTCAAGTCCCTGGAATTCGAGAAGTTAGATGGAAACAGCTGGCCATCCGCCCACATCACCATGTTTTGCCGAAAGATGACAGGATATGTAGAAAATGACCAACACCTAATCAATTACTTCTAGGAGAGTCTGTCAGGCTCAGTCATCCAGTGGTACAATCAA